GGAAGCACTTCTCCTCACCACCCCGGGCAAGGAAGTGTGGCCCCTCCACAACTTCTGCTCTATTTCTCCCCTGTGTCAGGATTTGGGGCACACATGCACACATGTGCAGTGTGTTTTTCAAGCTACCAGGGCCAGGACTTGAACTGTGGTCAGCCCTGTGTGATCCAGCTTCCTTACCACTGGTCTCTGGGACTAGCTGTAGATTTATTGTAAAGCATCAGATAATGTGGAGACATAATGATAGGCTATAACAAGTATCTCCTGGTAATAATTGCCACCTACCTACTTGTGGCCAGTGCTGGATGTCTGTCATTGTTTCATGCTAAGCAGAGCTGATAGTAATGTTCACGATGAGTTGAATTTGGTCGCTCTTTCGGCAGTGTGATATTTTTTTTCTCAAGGCCACAAGATCATCATTTTTCAGTTGGCAAGGATGCAAAAAATAAGGTGTGTTTTTAGAAAATAAACGTAGAAGAATGTTCTGTGATGATGTAATACATGTAGAAGGAAACATTTAGAATGTAAGTTATAAGTATTTTCCAGGATAAGCATCTTCGCCCCTAGGAGATTTTGAAACATTTATTCATCAGAAACCCAACACGAGTGTGAAATTACAAGTGTGAAATATCTTTTGAGGTGATCTTGGTAGGATTTGGATAACTTTAAGCCAATAAGTGAATCTTAGTAATCCATGAACATAGTATTTTGGTTTGTGTTGGAGGAGAGCGGGGGACTTGTGTTTGAATTATGAATTGTAATAGTCATTCAACAAATGCAGTCAGATTCTGAAGTAAATTTATTTTACTTGCACCTTTTAGTCATTAAAAAATACATTTAGGGACCAGCAGTTGGAGTAATGGCTATGTTGCTGGACTCCCATGTAGTCGACCGTAGTTCGAGTTCTGGACCTGGTGGCTTAAACTCATGCCAGGTGCGTGTGTGTGCATGCTCAAGATCCCAAGAGGAGAATGGAGGAGAAGGGATTGCGGTGTGGCCATTCCCCCAGGGGGTGATTTCTCTCTTTCTGTCTCTCTGTCTCTGTCTTCCTGGCAAGCACATGTGCTCTATAGCAAAAAAAAAAAAATAAAATAAAAAAATAAAATCTAAAAAAATAATACATTTAAAACATTTTCTTGGCTACTCACCCTCAATGGGAAGGTAGCAGTGATGTATTTTACTGTTGCCTGTCTCTCTACAACCAGAGGAAGACAAGTACAGATGTGTGGCTTGTGTGGCTTTTGCAAAGTTTACTTTTAAAAAACCGAACCTGAATACTTTAGATATATTCCGCAGTGTTTCAGACTCCATC